ACGGAGACGTCTTCGGACAGCGCTGGCTCTTCGGCTTTGAAACGGAGATGAGCACCGCCCCCTAGAGTCAGGAACGACTAGCACATATGTACGAGGGGAATCTTTTTACCTTTACTGGGACATACGGCCAATTGAAATTTTCTTTGCTGAAAATGCAAAGCACATTGTAAGCCGCCCTGAGTCTTCGGAGAAGGGCGGCATATAAATCAAATTTAAAAAAAAAAAATGCAAAAGGTTTGAAAGAAAGGCAGCCTGACGGTCACCACGTTCCTCATGATGATCGCTATATAACCACCATCACCTCTGGGAAGACCATTGCAGAACAGAGATGCCACCACCGAGAAGGCCGTGTTCCTGCCAGGTGTTGATTCACTGTGTTGGCTAAACAAGGGAAGCACGGGGGGGGGGGTATTTATGGCACTTTCAACCAATGGGGAACTGTCTCGCTTGCCAATGGTTGCTAGAAATGCTGCCCCCTTTCACATCACAAGGGCTTCCAGACAGTCGCATTGCCCTTTGCTGGTTTTGACCCCAGACTCAAACTGAGTCACAAGAGGAGGATAAAGAAGCTATTCAACCCCCATCCCCATGAACTTTCCAAAGGCCATTTCATGGGTATTTTTTTCCGAACAGTTTATGCAGAAATCAAACTTGGCATTTCGCCCCCTCGATGCTGGACGATCAAGGCAAGCGAGGCCTTCCAAAAAGTGCTGGTTATCTGCTCTGGAGCAGGCTGCAATGCTCAAGTTTTGTTCCCACGGCAACTCTCAACCAACTGGGGTGTGTGTGTGTGTGTGTGTGTGTGTGTGTGTGTGTGTGTCAATGTCACGAGAGAATGTTCTCTTGGCTGCAAATGCACAATAAGGAAATACAGATTTCAGAGTTCCCGAAGGATGAAATAAAATAAAGCTGTCCTCTTTTTATGTCCAAAAGTCTGTCTTCCTTCCTTCCTTCCTTCCTTCCTTCCTTCCTTCCTTCCTTCCTTCCTTCCTTCCTTCCTTCCTTCCTTCCCCCAACTTTAAACATTATTCCTTCTAAATAGTTGAATGTGTAAGTCGTAGAATATGACATTTCCTTAAAATATATGGCAGGGTAGAAATTGTTTCTTTCCCATTTCCAAAATCGCATCCCCATTTTGATAAATGTCGTATTTTATTTGTTCATCGTTACTCGAGCTTGGTTTAAAGTAAGCATGCAAAAATTTGGAAGTCTTCCCTCTACGGTGTAACAATAAAATGTTCTCCAGGTGCAAAAAAAAAAAAAAAAAACAAATATCAAAAGTTGGCAGACATAATGGGCCATTTTACCTTGGAGTTAGCATATCACATATATATCCGATACATTTTTTTTGCAAACAAGAATTCCATAGGTTTGCTAGAGAAATGGCACTTTGTAAAGCTGGTATTTCGAAGGCTGACAAATTTTAATCTCGAGCAGCTAATTGATTTTCCTATGGACTTTTTTTTTTTTTACAGCTTTTCCTCGGAACATTCAAAAAACTCTTATTTTATGAGCCAATTCTTAATGAAAACAAAACTTTTTGGACTGTTAAAACATCCTGTCGAATCACTGAAACAATAATTCTGTAGGACAGGTCAACATAACCATCTTCAGTTTGTTAATCTGGAATCTGCTGAAAACTACCTCATTGAATCTGGGCAAAGGAGTTAATCAGCATATTACTGATTAAATATGCACTGTAACATTTTGTGGGAGATTATGACAAAATGATGCCTCTCAAATTGTGTTGTCAGGGTCATTTCTCTGTTGACATAGACAGGACCGATGCCTGTGAAAATGCTGTCCAGAATTCTCCTCTGCCACCTAGAAAAAGTTACTAAGTGATTTTACTTGGCAGAAAATCAGTGGAAGAACACAAAATGTATCAGAAGAGAAGCAGTTGCCACTTTTTAAAAGAAGTCTAAATTTCATATAGAAATAACAGCAATCCTTTTCTTTTCTTTTTTTTCCCCCCTCCCACCCCTTTCTCCTTCAAGCAGTATTGAAGCCAGGCTGAGCTGAAAGAAAAATATTAACGTGGCAGAGAGATCGGATGGCCAAGTGACCCCGTTCCAAATTTTGGTAGGCAGGAGATGCTTGAAACAAGCCATAACAAGCGCAAGATACACACAAAACCTCTCGCCTCGGCTAAAGTCCCAGCAACGCAAAAGCAAACCAAAATAAAAATAAAAATAAAACCTCTTGTCCAAACATCAGTGAGTTTGTTTAGCGTTTTATTAGCCAGATCAGGTAGTCCTTGTTAGCAATACCTCTTTAAAAGAGTTCTTCTCACCATGCCTAACTGCAAAAGATCATCGTGATTTTAAGGAAAAATATTCCAGGCGTACATATTGATCAAAGACAGTTCCCTCCCCTCCTCCTTTTTTTTTTGCTAATAGCCTGTTTAACAGGTTTTCTGCACCCTGTTTACTCTGAGTAGCTCAAACTCAAAAAGTTGTGTCCTTTCCTTCAGTTCAGTAGAGGTTAAATACAGGGAAATGAATACGTTTTCACCACTACGTATACCTATGAAGACGGAGGAATCTTGAGTTGGAGGGACACCGAAGGTCAGTTGTTACGTTCTCCAGCTAAGTGATGGAAATCTAGAATCAAGGCATCCTCCTTCTGTTGAAAGATCCCTTCCCCATCCTGGGAGATCTTACAGGTTCTTGTACTCCGTCAGTATATACAGCCTGTCATTTCATGTCTTGCAATGTCCAAGGATCACAACCAACCATGGGACCAGGGATGGGCTGCTAGGGGTTCGGGAGAACCTCTAGCTACGATTCTGTGCAGTTCGGAGAACCCCCAAATCCCTCCCCTCCCCGGAGTCCCCACGCGGCCCATTTTGGATGCAGATAAGTGCAGGGCGTGTGCGGAGGCTCAGGGAGGGCGAAAAACGGGCCTACCGGAAGTTTGGGAAGGGCCCAGAGGGCCTCCGGAGCCTGGGGAGGCTGTTTTTGCCCTCCCGGAGGCTCAAAGAAAGCTCTGGAGCCTGGGGAGGGCAAAAATGCCCCCCTACCCCGCCGTGGTGCAAGAGGCCGACTAGGTCACGCCCACCATGGCCACGCCCACCCAGCAACCAGGCAGAGAACCCCTTCCTAAAAATTTTGAAGCCCACCTCTGCATGGGACCCTACATTTTGTCTCCTTTATGCAGCAGGAGATGGATGATTATCTGTCATAATCGCATGAGCCAAGAGGAAACTGGGAGGAACAGAGCCAGCACCGAGTTGCCGTGGGTTTCCAAGACTTCTGTACAAGAATTCTGGTTCCTTTTCAAATCCCTGTTGCTTCCAAAGTCAAATATTGGGAAGGACAGGATCATATATTTAACGGGATTCAAACCAACAGAGTCAGGAAGGCTTGGAAGAAGCTAGCAGAGACAGAAACTTTAGATCCAACAGTGGACATTCTTGTTATTTCAACAATCCCAGATTGGCAAGTTCATTCTAAGTCATTTTATGGTTGGTTCAGACTCCAGGGATTTGGCCCAGATATACCTCTTAAGCAGACTCTACTACCAAAAGAAGACCCATTGGGTTTGAACTCCTGATTCAAACCTTTTGATGAAAAATATACTGAGGCAGGCTTCCGATGAAGAGTTCTGCGGGATGCAAACGTCGACATGTCCCCACAATTTAAGAAACTGGTCCATGTTGTGACTTGTCAGCCTCTTTTCTTTTCGGGCCTTTCATCGCGTATGTTTTTATCATGATATAATGATTCCTTGATAACGGCAGTTTCCTCCTTGTCTCTCAGAGCTGCCTTCATCTCAGCCCCAAGCAACGGGCTTAGCTGTCCTTCATCATAAGACTTTTAATGTCGTTCTTTCCTCCTTATTTTTGGCATCCTCAAATGGCAGTCTCGCAGAGTATAAAAATCTGTTAGGTTTTGTTACTCATTATCTTGGAAGGCGACGACTTAAGAACAGAGCAAGAAAAACTGGAGAAAACTTGCCAATCAGGAAAATATTGTTTTCTCCTGATTCAAGGAGACATGGATAGCACATTAACTCAGTAGTGGAGAAAGGTCCCTTCTTTCTCGCTTTCCATATAACTCCATATTTTAAATGTTGGTGCCAGGAAAAAAAATATGCTCTCTGTTCCATGTTTAACAGCAAGCCAAGCATCTAATTTTTCAGCTTATTATTTTTTAAGCAATTAAAAAAAAATCTCAAATCATCAATACAATTGAAACAAAACTATTTAAAGGGATGAAATCCTTAGGGGGAGGGAAAGTATAAGCAATCTCACAAGATAAAAGAACGAAGAAGCTGACCTGCACCCTCCCTTTTAAAAATATCATATATATTATAAGATAATAAAGAGGAAGTTTTACAGGGCAGCCCTATACTTGTTTACCTGGTAGTAAACCTTACGAAATGAGCGTGCATAGGATTTACAGCTTACGTGTCTTGTATGCTTTCATAGGCCCAAGGTTGGAAAAAAAAGGTCTGCAGAAACTTCTTGGTAACTGGAAGGATGACGTTTTAAAAAAAAAGGAAAACAAAGTTCTCTTGTACTTTTAAATTCTTAAGGGAGCTTCTGGTCCAGCCAGTAGCTTTGAGTTGTTGTTTTCATTTATAATTTTCTTTCCTGAATTCTGAAAAAAAAAATAGAAGAAATCTAGAATTAGTGGTGGGTTAAACTTTAGGCAAGGCAGAATTTTCAGCCACAATTCCATATGTTTAGGTGCTATTAATTCACTACGTTCTCTGACTCCTTTTTGAAAAAATGACAGGCAAAGCATTGTGTGGAATCTAATATTATGTTATTTTTAATTTAAAACCCTGGCTGGATGGAGGTTCACAAGACCAAATTAAAAGCCATGAAAGGACACCCAGTTTGCTGGCCAGATATGTCAGATGTTAAGTACTTAGGGGAACGTGGTTCCAGGTTATGAGGCCTGCTGCATTCATTCAAAATGGCTTTTCCCAACACACTGGATTAAATCACCTGCTGGACAAAGGGTTTATAGTCCACTGCACCAGATGGGGGGAGGTGGGGGGGAGAGAGGCTTTTCAAGCATTCTCAAGTGAAAGGACTTGAGGTGGCAATGAAACATGCAGTGAATTACTGTACAGTCTCTAAGAAGAGGAACAGATGATATCTGGCCATTAATATACCGGATTTCAACTCCCATCATTCTTTATCACTGCCCAGGCTCGTTCAGGAATTGGAATCCTGCTCTGAAGAACTGTTTTCCTGGAACAGAGACCTTTCTTAAAAGCCGAAGTGTGGATTTGCTTAGAATGCAATCTACATTCGAAAATTAGGGTGTGAGGTCTGGCATGGCAAAAGAGATTGTCAAGTAGCAGAAAGAGTTCTCGGGCCTGGAGCAAAGAAGGCAGAGCTCTGGTCCCCCAATGATAATGTTGGCACATTGGAGCCTTGTCCCATCGGCCTTTCCTGGAGGGAAAGAATGACTCACCCGCAGCGAAGGGCTTTGTAATAAACCCCTTTGGCAGTCAGTTGTGGTGAGCTAATGAAAGACTGTGGGGAAGGACCAACTCTGCAAGGATGAGTTTCATCAAGCAGTTTCCAAATATCCCTCTCTTTGCTAACAAAGAGGGTGACACACATTTTCTCAGAAGTGAAACAATGGGACATTTAATGGGGGGTGGGGACAGAGGGAGAATCACCGTCTATTCTTGCTGCCCACTCACCTTTATCTAAGTCAATATTCTTGGCAGGGAGAATCCTATTTTGTTCAGCTTTGTCCTTCAGGATATTGTTTTTGTAATCTGCAAGGAGGGAAATTGGTTAAGGAAAAACATGATTTAGAAAAAGGAGACTATTTATCTGTCTTTCTCTCTCTTTCTTTCTTACTACTCTTTCTAAAAACAGTAAAATAGAACAACAATGCAAGTGTTTTCTCTCTCTCTCTCTCTCTCTCTCTCTCTCTCTCTCTCCCTCCCTCCCTCTCTCTCTTTATTACTCTTTCTAAAAACCATAAAAATAGAATAACAATGCAAGTGAAGATGCAGTTAACAGATGGGGAGGGAGGGAGCAGGATGCCGGGAGTGGGGGATGGGAGGAAGTGGGATTTTCTTTTAGATCTTAAATCTTCAGGTTAAAGTTAGGCAATCATGCAAACTGATGAGAATAGAGACTGAAGAAGCAGTGCTTCAGAGTGAAGACACACTTGGGGTGAATTCACATATGGAATGGACCTTTTGGCTTTTTTAACCAGAATTTGTTGAGGAACTGGTGATGTACTGTGGGATTTGGACAATACAATGGTTTGCTCACGCACCATGCAAATGCCAAACCAAACAAAAAATGCTGCATGGTGTCAGGTCAGTATGTGGCAGTGGAACATGTGAAAGCACCCCCTCCTCAAACCCTCCACCCTCCAAGACTTACCCAATTTAAAATCTTCACTTTTGTAGTTCGACAAATTTGTTGCCTCAAATGGAACCTCTCTGAGAGTCAGTTCTTTCCTGGAAATACAAAGACAAAATTATAATTGCGTTGTTTTAATTGTTGCAGTATTACTATCAGCATAGCATATCAGCAACCAATCTTTCTCAGATACGTTTCCAATTATTGCTTCTATCAATTTGTAGATACAAAAGAGTGTGGACATTTTATGCAATTAATAGCAAAAGATATCGGAGGAGCACCCCAGAATTGGATGGCTATTAGAATGCAGAAGATTCTCAGATTTAATTATAGCTATTTTGAGAAAAGTTTTCTAGGATCACATTATATCTTTGAGCACAAGGAATATGAGTCTACTTACTCATCATATTTTTTCACATTGTATTGAAAACCTAAAAATAAGAATAAAGAACAGATATGAACACATATCCAGGGAGATACTTGCCAGCACAGATAAATAAGGACAGCCTAGTAAAGTCACACACAGGATTTTTTAAATGGAAATAAACACGTTAGAGTTGAGACGATATGGAGCTTCGTTGAAGGATATACATTCATATCCAAATTAGGCCCTGGTGAAATGGGTATTTGAATTTTTTTTTCTCTTGCCACTACTTGTGGCAATAGAAGATGCTTTTTGTCTCATTTTGCCTCATTGTTTGGCAATTGTCTCTTGGCAGCTGCCATTTTGTCCTCCCAGCATTGTCAGCCATTGTGGTCTTTGGGGAGAAAAGGGTACCCTCCTCAATGAAAAACACTATGTTATTATTTTTTTTATAAACCAGTGCTGAACAATGTTGCTTCCGAGGATCCTGGGAAAATAAAATGTTAACCACATAGGGATAGTCACCAGAGTCTTTTTTAAAAAAAGAAAAACTCACCCACGCACCCCACTTCCAAATGAGAGCTGGTCAAAATATATTCCTGAAAATAAATCCATTTGCAACTGTCTATGGAGATTCTCAGTCATCCAGGTCATGGTTGTCTAAAGATGCTTTTTCAAAAAGCAACTGGATTTCCTTTGTTTTTCCTTGAAAACATTTCACTTTTCATCTAAGAAGCTTCTTTTCAAAAGGCAACTGAACTTTGATTTTCCTTGAAGACGTTTCGCTTCTCATCCAAGAAGCTTCTTCCGTTCTGAAGAAGCATGGGAAGCGAAATGTCTAAGGAAAAACAAAGCCCAGTTGCCTTTTGAAAAAAATGCACCTTTTGGATGGCCATTCTGCAGCTTAAAAGTAGAGGAGAAATTATGTGATAACCACAGTTCTATCTTCCCAGGAGAAAATGGGGTGCTATAAAATGAAGAGGCAAGTGAAGGAGTGACAGATGACTGAGCTCACCTCTCCTGCGGTGCTGGCGAGTCACGAGAACTGCAAGGATCAAGAGGAGGATGAAGAGCAAGAGAGTGGCCAGGACATAACCCAGCTGGTGGAAGAAATGAGCCCGGCTCTCAGGGATGATGACATTGATCACATTGTGGGTCCGGCCCAAATTAGGATCTAGATGGTAGAGGAAGATTTTTTTTTTAATTCAGTGGGTTGATTCACAGCTATAAGACAATTAGGAAAATTCACGACTAAAGTCAATCCTACTACCCCACCAGATCAGTGGTGAAATTCAATTTTTTTCACTCCTTTCCTCAGAAGGAGTGACTTCAGTCCAGTTCCCCCTACTGTTAGGAATGAAGGCAAATATATGTGTCCCAGAATAATGCTGCAGTAGCAAGAGCCAATCTGGGTCAGTCACTGGGACCAGAAGTTTTGTCTTCTAAGCTTTTGGACTTGTAACAGTAACAGAGTTGGAAGGGACCTTGGAGATCATCTAGTCCAACCCCGCTGCTCACGTAGGAGACCTATACCAGGGATTCGAACCGCTGACCTTTCTGATCGACAAGCTCAGCGTCTTAGCCACTCAGCCACCTAGGGAGCCGCTGGAGGCCATATTCAAGGAATTTCTCTCTAGCTAGAGAGAGGCTAGAGATAAGTCCCTTGAGGATGGGTTCCAGCACGAATCCAAAAGCTTGCGAGTGAAAACCTCCGATCCCGATGACCAGCCCAGATTGGCTCTTGCTACTGTCTCTGTTTGAGGATTACTTTATGTTATCAAACTGTCTAGTTCAGTGGAGTGACAGAAGAATGTACATACCAAAAGAATGAGTTTCAATTAAACAAAATCAAACCACAGATGTGTGCACACAGGCAAAAGAATATATATAGGTTTCAAGCCAGGAATCCATTCCAATGCAGGGTGTAGCAGTTCTTTGTGTTGAAGCAGAGAAGGGAAAGCAAGAGCAAGTTGCCAGTGTGAAATGCAGTTCATGAAGACGTGTGTGTGTGTGTGTGTGTGTGTGTGTGTGTGTGTGAGAGAGAGAGAGAGAGAGAGAGAGAGAGAGAGAGAGAGAGAGAGAGAGGGAGGGAAGAGACATTTGGAAAAATACTTGTTTTCAAAAGTCAAAGGGTTATATAAATTCAGACAAGGACTCAGAGCAGCATTTTAGTTTTAGGCAGCATTTCATATGAAAAAAGGGAAATTTGGATACATCGAGAAAGAGGGAAGATCCCAAAAGATCTCAAAGAAACTCCTTTTTGAGTGACTTTGGAGAAACCTCAGAGATGAAACACAACATAGCCAAACACTGGAAGAAAACTGATTGCAAAAGTTTCTAAGGCAAAGAGATCTTTAGCGTGCAGTTATATTTTCTTCCTTGGAAACCACTCATTGTTCTTGAGGCCACAATGTGCACATACAGCCTGGGAAGAAATGTTCAGCACTGGACGAGAAGAAGGCAGAGAAATGTTTAGCTTCAGACAAACCATCTGGAGAACCAGAGGCTGAAATTAAACATGAAACATAGAAGATTTTACACTAGCACTGATGGTTACCTAGTTGGGTAATGAAACGTCTGCAAGAAAACACCCAAGCTCAGAGAGTACCAAGGACCCCCCTCATATCAAACCTGAGCTACAAAGATTCTCCTTTATTGATCCATCCCAAGAAATGCCATAAACCTTTATTTTTCAAATTAGTGCATGGCCTGGGGCTGCCTAGATGACTTGGATTGCCACTGTCCTCATTCCCAGTTCTTCTTTGGCATAGTGGGAGATATAATCTGTGGGGAACAGCAGCAAAGTCTAGGGGCGACCCTCTCTTTTAACAGAAAGAGAAGTTTTAGTTTCACTGAGTTTTCTGTCACTGTATACATCAGCTGACATTGATGTCATGTGATTCTTTCAGAGTTGGCAGATTCTTAAACTGCACATGTTGCCCCCGGTAATATCATCCCGTCTATTTTTAAAATAATTGTCCTGGGGAATCAGTTTGGAAGGACTGACGGTCTGCTTTCTGCGGTATTCAGGACACAGAAAAGGAAAGGGGCCCAATCTGCGGCACAGTTAACATGGAGGAAGATTCTCTCAGTGACGGCTAGTCACAACAGTTATAGGCAGAATGTCCATGCAGAGAATTGTTACCTCTGAATGACATTCAGAAAAAAACTGCAAGAGAAAGCAGGATTACTATTATCTGGTTGACTAGTACAAGAAAGAAGATGCTATGTCAGAAGTCCTTCAGAAAGGAATTCATAAAACTCTTGAGGATTTGTAACAAAACCTCCACATACAAAGCAAATCTACCTCTGAGAAACCATTGCTGAGCAGCCACACTGAGAGAGGAGAAGCAGATAACAAAATCCAAAGAACAAACTGCCACATGTATTTAAAGGCAGCACAGCAATGGATAATACCATCCCTCAATCCACACCACAAGTCTGACTGAAAAAAGAATAGGAATTGAGTGAACTTGTACTTAAAATCAGAGCCTCAAAGGGGTTAACAGTAGCTCTTGATGGAAGGCGGAGTAAAAATAAATAGGCCATGTTGATCTTGTAAGCAGAATAAAATTTCCTGTTAGGAAAGGGTTCCAAAACCTTGGAACTATGCCTGGCATTAAAAGACCCAAGGAGAAGCTTCTAGCTCTCCTCTTTGAAACAAAAAGCTATATTCCTCCCAGAGTTTGATCACCAAGAGTTGAGGAATCAACTGAACTTCTCCTGCTATTAAACAAAGATCCTTGCAAGTATTGAGAGGGAGAGGGAGTTGATTCAATGAGTTTTCTTCGAACGGATTTTCCAACGGAAGTCTGAGTTAGCTAAAAAGTAAAAAAAAAAAAAGATGTTTTGCACAAGATGGAAAGAAGTTCTTGGGGATCTGGGACCAATTTCCTGATTGTAGCTGCAAGAAGGCAGACGAGCGGAACAGCTCAGAAACTGGGTCAAACAATTCCTCTGCTTTCTCATTTGCAAATGACGATTGGGCTGTCAAGACTTGTGACTTGTCCCCTTAAAACCAAGCCGAGGTGCAGGGTCATCTGCCTTCCTTGAAACTCTAAATGATGATGCCCCAGGAGCCACCAAAAGTCATTATCAGCTTATAATTGAAATAGGAAAAAGGAAATGCCTTAAGAGTGATCCTATGAGCTACATTTACAATGTAAAGGAAATAAAGGGAAATTTCTGGGTTTGCCTTACCAAGTTCGTTATTTTTCTGACAGCAACCCTCAACAAACCATGTCTCTAGAGCTCAGAAAGAGAAGTGCAGGCCCGCTCTTTCTTTAAGACTGCTGCTGCCATGGGTAGCTTTCTCCCACCTAGGACCTGCCCCACTGTCCCTGTCCACCGTGCTGTGAAGAGAGTTACCCTGAGCCATTTAGAAGGAGCTGGGTTGGAAAGATCTGCCATATGGTCCCTGAGATTTTCTCAGCATCCCCTTCGCGGTGAAGTTCTCTGAAGCCCTGGAAGAGCTAAACCTTGCAGTACTGGGCCGTTTAAAAAATTCATTGCGGTGCTGCCAGGGATGTTATTAAGCAGGTACTAAATATTAAACAAGCAATAAATATTTTAGATTGTTAATAAACAAAGAACTATGCCTGACAGGTTCGTTCTTTTTATTTGTCAGGCATTTTATTTATTAAAATTGCAGGGTTCCCCCCCCCCCATCTGTTGATTGTTTTTTTAAAAAAGTTAATCTTAGAAAGATGGAAAAACTGACTCCTTGGTTCAGGGGCAGGAAATGTGCAATGCAATAAAACTGGCTACTACCTCAATTAAAAATCTGCCCTAAAACATAGTTATATTGCCCAAAGCGCCTGGAATTAGCAAGTCCAAATTTTTTTTTTCTTCACATCAGTCCTTGCAATGTTATATGTGGACAGCTTCTGGAATTTAGAAGTGCTCCTTGGATGAGAGAGCCCGTCCTTTTTTGTTAGACGTCAATTGTCAATTGCTTTAAGCTAATTGCTTAAGTAGGTTAATTGCTTACCTGGTGCTGCTGGGGGATTGGGGCGCGTCAGATTCACCACCACTTTTTTCTCCTGTTCTGGCTCCACCACCGAGACCTGGAAGATCCTCCGTTCGTGGAGGCCACAGTAGTGGTGGTGCAGGTGACAGGAGTAGATCCCTTCATCCGCCGCCTCCAAAGACGAGATCCGCAGTGAGAAGTCGCCCAGGGCAAAGGCCTTCTCGGTGATGTTCATCTTTTGCCGGAGGAAGAAAGACCCGTATAAACGGCCCTCGCCAGAGGCATACAGGTCAATGAGCCGATCGGCCCGGTCATGAGGCACCCCTGGGGGTTGCCTGTCCCAGTGGACGACTTGTTGATCCTCCTCCTCATCTCGTCCGGTCCAAACCTGGTTCCGGTTGATGCAAGGAAGTATCACCGCGCTCCCTTTCAGGGCAACAATCACCACTTTCTCTCCATCCCAGTATCTCTGGACTTCTTCAGCTGTAGAAATCACACACAAGAGAAAATAATAAATTTGCTTGCGGGGAGGCTTGTGATGTGCCAGGGAAATGTGAAAATGGGAATATAAAGATTTATTGCAAACTTAAGCTTTCTACAAGAATCTGAACTGTAAAGGGTCAAAGCAAATTGGCAGGAGATAAAATTTGAAGGAATTCAAGGTGCGCTGAACCTAAAGCTCTTGTGGGCATGAAGGGACTCCCGACTGATATAGCTGACCCCTCCCTTGGGCTCAGCCTCAGCCTGGTCATCTCCTACAATGCCATTTCATACAGTTCCCTCCAGTTCTCATAGAGAGAGCATTAGAACCAGTGGTGAAATCCAATTTTTTTTACTACCGGTTCTGTGGGTGTGGCTTGGTGGACATGGCTTGCTGGGTGCGGCAGGGGAAGGATACTGTAAAATCCCCATTCCCTCCCCACTCCTGGGGAAAGGATATTGCAAAATTTCCATTCCCACCCCACTCTGGGGCCAGCCAGAGGTGGTATTTGCCGATTCTCTGAACTACTCAAAATTTCCACTGCTGGTTCTCTGAACTGCTCAAAATTTCCGCTACCGGTTCTCCAAAACCTGTCAGATCCTGCTGGATTTCACCCGATTAGAACCCTTCACACCCATGTTGTTCAGAGTGTGTTTTCTACAATGATAAGATGCCCAGTGTCGCTTTGTAGAGAGATAGGTGGCAGACAATTTTAATAAATAAATAATCGGATGTCAGGGAGAATGCAAAAGCAAGTACAAAGGCAGAACGGATTTTCTTAGTCTTTATACAACCTAGATCCATCATGGTTTTCCAATTCTCTCCACCGATTCTTTGTGTGGAAGATGTGGGAGTCAAAATACTGTCCATTCTGAAGCTGGCTTTAGACGTCAGCCGCCCAAGCCAAATTGTCCATTAAGCGGTATCTTGGTCTCTATCACTGGCTACGTTAGAACAAAATCCAGATGCTGATCATCTGCCTTGTTTTTTTCCGCTTTGCACAGAAGAACAGAGGGACTGTACAAATGGTGTTTTGTAACTTTGAGATAAGAATGAATTGCCACAAAAATATCTAATAAACATCCAATAAATAAAAATCTGACTAACTCCAGTGCATCAAATGGAAAAAATAAAAATCGAGTTCCGATCCCGTATCAGGCATGTAGCTGATGGATCTCTTAGTCTTAACTCTCAGCTGAACTTACTTCTCAGGCTTGCTGTTTAAATAAAATGCACTTTTTAGGAAGTGTTCTATCTTTCTAATGAGATGCATCCTACTCCAATATAAGGTATATAAACTGCCAAAGCAGTCCGGCCTTTCCAAAATAGGAAAATAGTACATTTTCTTTGCTTCCTTGTATTGAAGCTCTCGGAAAGTTCTTTAAAAACCTGCAAATTTTTGTGGGGTGTGTATGTGGGGATAACCTTTTTTCAAAAACAAACAAACCCAACCCTCCCTTCTAGAAATGACATTGCTTGGTAAGAATCTTATAGAGAAAATTTCATTAAGAACACAAAATGTAAGAATTTTCCTGGATCAAGCCAAAGAAAATGCATTGGCCCTAAATCCTACATCTACACCAAGATGCATTATGGAGAGAGTTGACACACAAGGCAGGGGAAAAAAAAGGAAAGAAAGAAAAAAATCCAACAAGGATCCCTAAAAGCATAATAACAGAGTCAGCTCAGGCACTGACATATTTCTATTTTCTCAATCAGAGCAAGATTACTTTTCCTCAGAGATTGAAAGGAAAAGTTTTCTTCCAAAAAAAATTGTAAATCCCATTTTCTTCACTAACAAAAGGATATCTTAATTCTCCGGGCCTTTTCTCTGCAGCCTTGTGACGGGAAATGCTTGGTTGGCCACAAACATCTAAATTACAACTCCCTAGACTTCTCATTTGCTCCATGCTGAACAGCAGAAAGGCCCCTTCCAAAATTGCTTCAAACAAGGCTACATGATTTAATGACTGAGAAACACCAAAGGGGAGCAAAAATAAAGTTGCAGAAACAAGCCACGTGCACACACATTCCTCCTCCTGTTGATTCCCACTCACACATTCCTCCCATTCAGGAGGTTCCCCCCAGTCCCCAAAACTGCTGACCTTCTTCAGTGACCTCAAGCTGCAGCTTCACTGTTTCATACAGATGGCAATAATGGTGGTGGAGGTTACAGGAATAAATTCCCTGGTCGCTCTCAGCAACATCTTGATTAGAGGAATAAAGAGAAAGAGAAGGAGATCATTTAGACCACTAGATATTAGAACAACAGGAAGAAGGTAAATAATACCGGTATCACTCTTGGAAGTCCAATCTACAACGGTGCAGGAATCCTGTAACTATAAGTATTCAAAACAAAGGCACATCTGATTTTAAACATCTGTGAGGGGAACTTGCCACGTTAGGAAAACCCCTCCTTCTGGTTAAAGGTAAAGGTTCCCCTCACACATATGTGTTAGTCGTTCCCGACTCGTAAGGGGCGGTGCTCATCTCCGTTTCAAAGCCGAAGAGCCAGCGCTGTCCGAAGACATCTCCGTGGTCATGTGGCTGGCATGACTAAATGCCAAAGGCGCACAGAACGCTGCTGCCTTCCCCCCAAAGGTGGTCCCTATTTTTCTGCTTGCATTTTTTACGTGCTTTCGAACTGCTAGGTTGGCAGAAGCTGGGACAAGTCACGGGAGCTCCCCCTGTTACTAGGGCGGCACTAGGGATTCGAACCGCTGACCTTTCGATTGACAAGCTCAGTGTCTTAGCCACTGAGCCACCACGTCCCTTCTCCTTCTGGTTACAAACCCCCTTTTCTGCCATTTTAGAGAATAAGCAACTTGAAGGGAGAGAACTATCTGCAAATGCAAAACAAAGAAACAAACTAACATGGAAAAGCTAAAGTGATGTTTCGGGTTGTGAGGCTGGTGAATTAGGTTTCAAGTGATCTTGGCAGAACTTGAAAAAAGATAAGCAAGGTTGGATCTAATTGGTCCACTGTTTCATGACACCACCAAGAGATCACAGCTATAGGCAAAATTGGGAAGGAAAAGAGAAACATTGTGGCTGACAGCAAGTGCAAACCTCTTCACTACAGTGGCTAAGGAAATTACCTGCCATAATCCATGTAGTTACTAAGAGTCAAACTCAACTTGAGAAACTTTTTAACTTTTAAACCCACAACTAACCTCAGTATTAATAAACTCAGTGTTTATAAGGAATCCATTGGTATGTACTGTACCAGAGAGAGGGACAATATTTTCCTTCTGTGGAAATGAGGCTCTTCAGTGGGCACATTTGGAAGAAGGAACCCCAAAGGAGGAAGTGAAAATACTTGGCATCTGAGAACAACTCACCCTGCTGCATTTTTATTTTTCATTCATTTATCTTATACAAATTTCTATGGATTTTGTGGCTACGATAACTAGTCCTTTGGCAAGCCCTTTTGGAAACTACATTTTTTAAAAAAAAAGCATGAGGGGAAACAATTTCAGTTGATGAATAAATCCACATTTCTCTTTTGGAAAAAAAGAAGATTAACGGATATGTGCAGGGGCAGCAGCTACCTTGGACCATCAATGAAAAGTTGCCTTCCGTAAATGCGTTTTCAGGCATGGAGATCCGCCCCTGGTTGTAGGTGTGGTAGACCCGCCGATCCCCGGCAGAGTACATGTCGCACAGCCTCTCCACATCCTGCTGGCTTCTGTAGAGATCCCAATGAACCACCCGCTGGCGATCGTTCAGATTGTCCTGAGTCCAGACCATCCGGTAGCTCTTGCAAGTGAGAACCGTCCGGGAGCCTTCCTTGGCGGTGATGTTTACTACGGACACCACCATGCTTTCCAGATTAGGTGCATCTGCTGGGATTGCAACAGGAGGAAAGGAAAGGAGGTGTATAATAAGAGAGGCCTTCAACTGAAAATGGGAGCGTCCATCTACATATTGATCTGAAACCTAACATAAGTCAGGGAGGAGATGGCCTCTGTGCTTCTTCTAGCCCAGGGGTCAGCAACCTGCGGCTCTGGAGCCGCATGTGGCTCTTTCACCCCTCTGCTGCGGCTCCCTGTCACTCAAAATAGGCGTCACAACTGCCAACGTGCCACACCCTCTGGCACACAATTTATTGAGCTTTTCAACCCCCGGTAGGCCAACCATGGATTAAATCCAAGAAAAGAAAAGTTTCAGAAGAAAACAGAACGTTTAATTCAAACTACATATGCTAGTTTTGTGGCCGCTCAAGAAATAATCAGGCACGGGAAGGGTTTTGTGGCTCCCGGTGTTTTCTTTTCTGTGGGAAACGGGTCCAAATGGCTCTTTGAGTGTTTAAGGTTGCAGACCCCTGTTCTAGCCAAAGGAGGCAAGTGCAGGGCACAGCCAAGAGGTTCGTGCAAAGGCTTCATTGACCCATGGCACAAGGCACACAAGAGACCCAAGGTCAGTTCCTGACACTTGCAACTAAAAGGGGCTTATGGGAAAAGTCCTTCTTGGCCAAAGGTTACAGGCAGCCTGGTCATTTCAGAGAGAATCACATCTATATTAAAAAAAGTAATATTATTATTCTGAAAAACCCTTCCAGTAAGCAGCCATCTCTTTAAATAAATCCACTATGGTATTTCTGCTACTTGACAATAATCCGACTTGTATACAAGAGGGTTGTTGAATGGAATGCATGCCTCTTATTTAAAAAAACGCAGGAATGTAAAGCTATATATATATTCTTATTCTCACTTACCAGAATATGGATGAACAGCAGCTTCTAAAAGGGGAGAAAAGAAAGTTTTTAGTGTCAGAGGCCAATTTTTTAAAGTAACAATATCAACCACCGCCACCAGTGCCAAGTCCTACACAGGATAGAAGGTATATTCTATCCCTCCGTTTATGCAGCCTAGAACTGTGTTGGCTTTTTTGGCAGCTGCTGCACACGGCTGGCTCATATTTAAATGGTTGCCCACTAGGACTCCAAGATTCCTCTCACTACTATTGAGCCAGGTACCACCTATACTGTACCTGTGCATTTTGTTTTTCTTGCCTAAATGTAGAACCTTACTTTTTTCACCATTGAATTTCATTTTGTTAGAAAGTGCCCAATGTTCAAGTCTGTCAAGATCCTTCTGTATCTTGAGCCTATCTTCTGGAGTGTTGGCTATTACTGCCAGCTTGGTGTCATCTGCAAATTTGATGAGTTCCCCATCTATCCCCTCGTCCAAGTCATTGATGAAGATGTTGAAGAGTACTGGGCCTAAAACAGAGCCTTGGGGTTCTCCCACTGCATACTTCCCTCCATGTAGATGCAGTTCCATTGAGGACTCCACGTTGAGTGCGGTTGGTCAGCCAGTTACCAATCCATCTGGTGGTGATGCTGTCTAACCCATATCTTTCTACTTTATTTGTTCAAATGTTCAGATGTTCAAACTAAAGCTGGACAGCCATCTGTGGTGATGCTTTCTGTAACACCTTAAGTAAATCTTAACCATAAGTCTGGTTGCTATTTTTTAAAAAAAACCCTGAATCCTGCAGATCCTTGAAGTCTCCATCCCAAAGGAGCCTGAGTGGCGTAGGAGGCTAATGCCTCCTAAGGCAGCATTTAACATCCAGCTACCTGCAATTACTGCGAGTTCAATTCTCACCAGGCTCAAGGTCGACTCAGCCTTCCATCCTTTCTAAGGTGGGTAAATTGAGGACCCAGTTTGTGGGGGCAATAAGCTGACTTTGTATAAATATACAAAAGTATGAAGGCTATTGCTTAACGCATTGTAAGCCGCCCTGAATCTCCGGAGAAGGGCGGCATATAAATAAATAAATAAATAAAAAAGACTAGAAGCAAAGGAACATTAGGCAAATCTTTTTCCTTATTCCTTGAAAAAGACGTGACCAGCCTGAGTTCCAGTCTCAAAGCATGAATTTCATGCTCTCGTTGACTACATACACCAGTGATTTCTTAAGAGATTTGCTAAATGGGTACTGTTATGAATGTCAGGGTGGACATTCCCTGTCTGGAGAACTCTAACTCCTGTTTAACAAGATTAGTCTGATGGAACTCAGTGACCCTGGGACACACCTTTTCCATGGTATCTCTATTTGTGGGATTGGGGGAGGACAATTTTCACCCTTTGTGCATCCCAGTTTCATGTAAAGAATATACTTGCATATTGCAATGATTCAACTGCGGACAATTTCATTTGAAGAAGAAGAAAAGAAAAAAAAGAGAGAGATTGGTTGTTCTTCCAAAGAAAGCAGGAAACTCACCAGATGTGCTGTTGCTCAGAATTGCACAGATCCCTTTAACCCTTTTTTTTTCATTCAGCCAAATTTAGATGCAGAGGGAACACACACACACAGCCCTCCCCAGACCTTCTGGCATTGCTAACTTTAGTTGAAGATCAAAGGAAACGGTGTTTGTTTGGTCTCTTGACTGTAAATGTAATATTTTTTTTAAAAAAAATGCGCACAGGTGTTTATAAAACAAAGCGGACCACCTTTTTTTCCCTACAACTCCCGCTGGGAAGGCATCAGGTTTCTCCCTTCTTGCCTGGAGTCGTTAGAGCAATAGAACCTGGGTTTTATTGGCAGTCTACCTCAGAATCCCACTTGCTATGCAGGGACAACTTAGAAAAGGAAACTCTCTTTTTCATGCCCTACTTCGCACTTATTGGAAACAGGATGCCGTGCTTAGACAATCTAGCCCAAAATATACAAGTGATGTGGTTAAGGCACAGCACTAAGGAAAAGTAAAGGTTTGATTCCACGGATTCAAGGAAGCACCCCCCCCCCCATCTTACTTTTTTTTCCCCCAACTGGAAAGCTACAGGAAACACCTGAATAGTACAGGCAGCCCTTGACTTACGGCCCAAAATTTCCGCTGCTAAGTGAGACAGTTATTAAGTGAGCCATGCCCCATTTTTGAGCTCTGTTGCTATCGTTGTTAAGTGAATCACTGCAATTGTTAAGTCAGTAACGCGATTGTAAAGTGAATCTGGCTTCCCCGTTGACTTTGCTTATCAGAAGGTCGCAAAAGGGGATGATGTGACCCCAGGACCCTGCAAGCGTCGTAAATATGAGGCTGAATTTTGATCACATGGAGTGTGGGGATGCTGCAATGGTCGTATGGGTGAAAAACGGTCATTTTTTTCAGTGCTGTTGTGACTTCAAACAAATGGTTGTATGTTGAGGACTACATGTACACTTATATCTGTGGAACTTTTTAAGAGCTTCCACGTCAGATGTTTTGCTCCAGCCAGGTAACAGAACGACACCTTAATTTCCAAAATGTCAATCTGCACTCTAATTTCCTCTCTGTACAAACATTGTATGCTGTAAGGCCGTGATGGTGAACCTGTGACATGCGGACCCATATCTGTAGGCACACGAGCCTTGCCCTAGTTCAGCTCCAGCATGCATGTGCGAGCCAGTCAGCTGATTTTCGGGCCTTCCGGAAGTGCCAAAAGCGGGGGGGGGGGGATTGAATTATGGGGCCCCCCCCCACTCCCGCCGCTTTTGGCACGCAACAGCAAAAAGGTTAGCCATCACTGCTGTAAGGTATTAAAATAACTTTAGTCTTAATTCTGCTTTTGTGTTTTTTAAATGCAGGCTGTCTTGGGAGATCCTTCTCATTGTAAGAAAAAGTCTTTAAAGTTTTTTAAAAATTGCCCCAAAAGAAAGATTCAGATCCGTTAAAAATTAATGAAAATGTGAGCCCCCTCCCAACTGCTTAGGAAGTTCTCAACCAGGTCTGCATGAAGCAGGTAAAAATCAGCTTTTGCACAATTGATGTGATTCAGCCAATTGAGGTAATCCTGCTCGATTTAGAAAATCAATCTGATCCAATTCAGACATTCAGATCGAACTGTCCAATTGGGTTGGTCTGAATTTTTGAAGCAATTGGTCAAATCAATTTGGAGGAGGTCTCTGATAGAATTTGACAATCAGACTTGGCTTTTCAATTCAGCCCAAAAAGAAAATCTGATTCTGAGATGTGATCAGACCACTACTGAATTGAATCTTCTGTTTGAATAGTTGCATATTCCTCTTATTATAAAAATAAATAATATTTGGTGAAAACAAAAGTGCTTAGGATGAGGGAGAGAGGACAATCATAACAACTTCACTTTTCTATTCTTATAAAATATTTTTACTTTAGATATGATCACATACCTCTTTTAAAACAAAACAAACAGAATACTTTGTCTCAGAAAGGAGGAAGAAAGTACAAATAATTTCCACAGCTGAATATAAAAGGTTTTTGTTGGTTTATGACAGATACAAATCCTTAATCACAAGTCCAACTTTGATTTAAGTAGTCTCTAGCAAATGTAAAAGTCTCTTTGATAAAGAGAGAAATAAAAACAAGGACTGCAAAGTCTTTTTTTTTCTAGATCTGTGCTGCAGAAAAGGCAGAAGTTATAAGAAGGGTGTGTTTTTTTTTATGTCACCAAATTCTTTGTTTACTTAAGGAAGAATTCAGTATATCCAAAAGTATACATCTGCTTGAATTGGCAGATTCCAAATCTTGGCTTTAATATTAATTGGTTAAGTATCTCAGCTGCTGTGTATATTTTGGATGTTTTTATAGTTCTGGAATTGTCAACTGCCCAGAATAATTGATTGAGATGGATATAGGCATCGAATAAATAAATCTTTCTGAAGTAGCTCCTTCACCATCAAGATTTTTTTTAACAAAATGTATAGATTTTAATCGGGGTTACAGTCAATATATCACAGATAACATCAGGATTTTAATTATTAAATAGCAACCTAATCTATTAAAATTAGCTATCTCCAGTTACTTAAATTCACTTTGACTACCACTGCTACTATTTAATATTTAAAGAGCCTTGTTTTTAAAAGTTATTTTAATACTTCCTCTCTCCCTTTTGTTATGTGCTGCTTTTTTCACCAATGCTTCACATTTATTTGGAAAAACTTCTTTCCTCCGGCAAAGCATAGTTACTTGGTGGATAGTTCCATTTTGCAAACAGACAGTTGTAGCTAGAGGAATTACATTCACTGATAGAAAAGTAAGGTTCTAAGTTTTCCCAACCAGACTCTCAGGATGGCAACAGGAAGAACAATACTAATATAACGTTAATTTTTCCTTGCTGATTCTGTTCCTCTGCTTATGATGGCTGAGAGACATGTACCACAGAAACTTTTGCTTATCGTATGTGCTATACCAGAAAGACAGCATCTAATAAAAGTATATGCTTCATGCTGTCATTAAAAAATAGATCTAATACATCAAGTGGCCAAAATAAACTCAAGCCAAGCTTGACTTTTTTTAGCCAGATTGTGGCTAAGGGTCTTCTTAGCCAAAACCAACTGACCAACCAATCAATAAAATTCTATCCAAGCAAAGCTGTATTTTACTCTTTCTCTCAGCAGTGCAAAACTCACAAAACATATTCTCATTCCAATGGAGGAACCCCTGAAAGTGCTATAGATGGGACAGTCCCCGAATTAACCAGGATAATGCAATGCCCCCCATGTTTACATATGTCATTCCTAAAGTATATGCAAAATCTAATGTTTCCCGAAAAGAGGAAGAAAGAGGGCTGCGCAAGGACACACAAAGAAAATTAATCCCCATTTTTCAAACTTACCCTGGAGAACCAGCAAGAGAGCTAAAAGGAATTTGCTAGCTTGCTCCATGTCTCTCTTCCTTCTTTTCTTCAAATCTTCCCCTTGCTGCTTGCTTGAAAACACTTTTATGATCTCATCCGTTTACAGCCCCAAAACATGGATATACAGCAAACCTCTTTC